TAGGGTTTAGGGTTTAGGGTAATTGCACAGAACTGAAGATACCACAACTAGGGTAGGGTAGGAGTGACAAGACCTGCACCATGCCCTCGGCCCACGACTCCAATCGGACGCTAAGCCCCCGAGCCGTAGACCTTAAAACCTGCAAACCACTGATACCCAAAGCCCTGAGCCGTTGTGCCGGAAACAACAGCAAACTACGAACCACATGCCAAGCCGTGTAAAGACCCATAAACTCCAGACAACCCTCTAGGAACTTCTGGAGTGCGCCACGAAACAAGCATCTGCAACAGAAACAATGAAAACAACGTCTGAAATAGACCCAGCGCAGTAGCATACTCAAGATAAGTGTCCCTAAACATGAACACAACACAAAAAAAAGACAACCCTAAGCCTTAGCCCCTTAACTTGTTTCCTTAACCCTAAACCCTAAACTCTAAACCCTTTTTGAACCCAGACTCTGCCAATAACTGAAAACCCTAAACCCTTAACCCGAACCCTCAACAAGAAGCTTCCCTGCCCAGCGGCCGTAGCCGGCTCGGAGGGGCAAGGAACCCGGGCCTGATCGACTGGGCAGGCTTCTTTTCCATTTAGGGGATTAGGGATTAGGGTTTAGGGTTTATAAGGTTATAGGGTTCATAGGGCTTATAGGGTTTATAGGGCTTCTTTTCCATTTAGGGGATTAGGGATTAGGGTTTAGGGTTTATAAGGGTTATAGGGTTTATAGGGCTCATAGGGTTTAGGCTTCCTTTTCCATTTAGGGGATTAGGGATTCGGGTTTACGGTTTATAGGGTTTACAGGGTTTATAGGGCTTATAGGGCTTCTTTTCCATTTAGTGGATTAGGGATTCGGGTTTAGGGTTTATAAGGCTTCTTTTCCATTTATATGGGGGATTCTTGCCTCCTACCTAGCAAGGACGAGCCCGCATTGCAGGGTAATGTCTACAGCTTTGATTTTGCACAGCCGCGCCCCAATCTCGAGGCCTGCCACTTAGCCAGAAGAATCTATCAAACAGCCTCCAGTCAAGAAACAGCTACATCCAACCTACATTTGTACCAGCTGCACTGCTTGACGCATCACTCTCCCGAGCAGACCGATACTCCAGCCCCACGAGCAGCGGCTCTGAAATATAAGTCTGTACAAACCTGCAACTCCCCTCCCTGCAAGCAACACACAACATCAATCCACCAAGGACAGACAGGCTGCATCCATCAAGGATGCCCAGGTTGCATGCGAGTCCATCAAGGACAGGCAGGCTTTAGACAGTATCCATCAAGGATGCAGGTCAGTGATGCCAAGCTACAGCTTGTTGTTGTCAGCCCCAGACTGGCAAAATGCCATGAGGCAAGCACTGACGCCAGTCGACGGCTTCTCCGCGCCGGTCCGGTAAGATGCCATAAGGCAAGTGTCGACTGCAGCAAATTTTGAATTACCAAAAACATTCAGACCAGAATTACTAATTCCATGTGCCGTCGTCAGGATCAGAGGTCGGAGCGTAGATCATCTAGAGAAGGTCCATCCACACTCACACAAGACAGCGGATATTAAATTGCATATGTCTCGCAGTTGCTTAGGCTGATAAATGGGGATTAGGTTTAGGGTTTAGGGCTTATAGGGTTTATAGGGTTTAGGCTACATGGCAATAACATGAGAATGCTAGCGATGATAAGAACAATACAAGTAAAAGATCGTACTAATCAACACAACAGTGGCAATCATTATATTAATATTAGTGCCAGAAATAGTTTTTGTAATGATAGTCATGGCTCATAGTCAAAGTCATTCCAACGACTTCTTTAAGACTCTGTGATTTTCTTATGGTTGCGGATTGAAGGACTAGTGACCGCGAACCCAAGCTCGGACCCCCAAACCACAAGCACCCACCCCATAGCTCTCGGCTTAAGTGCCCAGCCCGGAGCGGCGTCGGATCGGACGTCCTGAGTTCAGGGCTGTAGGACTTTGTGAACAAGCAACCCAGAACTTTTTATTTGTGAGCGTTGTCAAGCCAGAACTATTGACCAAGGCCCACAGATGCAAGTAAATTGAGAGTACACAGGAAGCGCGTGGGATCGGCATTCGGACTCTCACAAGGGGCCGATGGAGGTAGGTCTCTAACACTATGTAGGGTCTCTTTGAGGGTCCTTTCTGTTAAGGGTGAAGTGAAGTACCCACGAAGCCGTGAGAGTTCCGTAATACAAACCTTGATTGCTTATATGCTAACCCGGGGACACACAAAAATCTCGGTTGATACGGGATGATTAGTTGGATTTGGTAAGGTCTCTTATGATAGCCCTTGAAAAGAAGTATTCTACCGATAAGGGTGCAGTGAGCGACCTTACCAGAGATCCCAGCAAGCCACAGGGAGCAAGTTTTAAGAAAGCCATCATCCGCAACATAAGCGATAAGAATGACATTTGGAAATGTTCGCAGAATCCTAAATACCAGCCCTTCAACTCACAAATCCTAAATTTTAAATCTTAAACCCCGAATATAGATGCTCTGATGCACAGTCGTGCCAGAGGGCGTGAAGCTGCCAGGGCTTAGATGCGGTGAGGAGAGCGGCGTCCCGAGGGTGCCTTGGGCTAGCATGCAACGGGTGCAACCCTGGACCTGAAATTGAGCCCCGGAGGGCTTAACTCGAAAGGTTCATGGTCTGAAAAGAAAGGTGCAGGACTGCCGGCCGGGGCTCAGGTTCAGAGAGGTGAGAGACCTACCGGGATTACCGCAGCTTCTATCCCGGCCGACCGTCGCGCCCCACCCCCCTTGGCATAAGATTCTTCACCGTCATCATCGGCATCGTCGTGGTCCTCATCATCAACATCACCACCATTGTGTCATCATGATCGCAGTGGTGTGGTGTGACTCGGGGTTTTGTGACTGCTTGAGATCACCATTCACAGATCTTCGTGCGGTCATGGCCAGCACCATCTACACCATCATTGAATTGGGGACAAGTGTTGCACAGGAAACTCGTCGTTTCAACCCTTTCGTCGCCGAGGAACCCGTAATCAAACACTGAAGTTTTAAAGCACGGCACCTCAAAACCTTGAGGCCCTCGCACATCCACGCTTTTTTATGCGGTTTACACACGTGAAGCGTTTAAACAGCAGCGTTTCAAACGCACAAGCGGCCTCGACGCAGACCCCTGAATACTACGATGGTGTACGGATCCGTCCATGATTGTAAGAACCATCGTAAGCCTCATCTCTTGCAAGCCGAGTGGCCAAAACCTGGATGGTCGGCACAGTGCTCACCGGAACCAAAATCCTCCAGGGGTCACTTCTTCAAAGGGGGAAAGTACACAGATAGTAAGTTTTGAGACCCCAAAAAAGCCAACAACTCATTCCGAGCATCGTATTCGGGACCTGAAGCCCTACTAAACATGAGCAGTTGGACCCTGAGGGATGATAAAGGATCCCTACCACCATCTCTGCTACTTTCCTACGGCACACGGGTTTTATCAGTCTCTGGGTTTAGGCTTCAAAAATTCGCGGTTTTTCTGTGCTTCAGTATCAGAACCTTCGGGCTCCCCGTTTTTTCAACTTAGGGACTTAGGGTTTCGACTCATGCCCTCGCACAAGGGAGGCATGGCTGCGAAGCTTTGAGCTTGCTACTTACATGGGCACCAGGGTTTCGGGTTTAGGGTTTCATGTTACAGGATCGACTCCCACCAAGTTGTAGCAAGACGACACGCTCTACAGTCCTTGCAGCTTTCTCCCTATAGGGGGCAAGACAGCACCCTAAACCCTACACCCTAAACCCAAACCAAAAGCCACTCACCATGTTGCAGTATTGCCTTGCAAGCCCGAAGCACGCAACCCTAAATCCCCAAGTGGTGCAACCAAAGAGCTGAAACATTAAACCCCAAAAATCCTAAGCCCTACATGCAAAAAAAACATTAACGAGCTGAGTGTTGAGGGACCTTGAAGTCTTAAAACCTACCAAACCTAGGCCCGAATCAACGCTATGGCTATACCCTCAACGCTCAACCCTCAGTTCCTAGACCCTGCAAACCTTAAGCCTTACGCGCCGTAGGGAATCTCCCCTCATCTGCAAACTACCTCGAGCCACCGTCCCTGGCCTAAACCTGGCCTATCCCGAAAACCGTGGGCGTTGAAGACTTGCTGTTGCAGTTTAAAGGTTTCGGGTTAAGCGCCTCTGGTTGTAAGGCTCAGCTTGGTGGCTCGTAGAGGCTATACTGAGGACCACCATAATACCATGCCTCAAAGTTTAAGGCTTATAGAGAGCTTTGTAACCCTAAACGTAGAAGGATGTCTTGCTGGGGGTTTACGGTTAGAGCTTGGGGTTTCCGTTGGGTTTCAGCTTAACCCTGGACTCTAGACTGAGCTTCGTTCCATGGGTGGTTGTCAAAATTGGGGTCTCTTTTGGCTTCCCAAACCATAGGGTGCCGCCTTAAGAACAATGATATATAGGGTTCCCCAAAGGGACGATAACTTTGACAGTTGGCGTTCCTCATGTAAGAATTAACGCCCGAGGAGGAGGTCCCAGTCCTTCGTTGCAGGCGGCGGTGTCGTGGCGCCAAGCGTCGCCTCACATATCACAGGATTTCCTTAGGATTCAATAGCGCACAACTACACGGATATTCTGTACGTGTTGGTGAGGGGTTTGCTGCTGCAGTGCAGTGTTGTTTGAAGCGTCTCTACAACCTGTGCTTGGGGGCTTGGGTTCAAACCTTGCAAGAAATAGGTTTTCATAGTATAGGATCCCAAACAAGGTGCCCTTCCTTGGTGTCCAACGGGAGTGGTCGGAATACTGGTGACCAGCAATAGCTCCTATGCTTTCAGCCTACGGATCGGGGCATTCGGGCTTGGGGGTTGTCAAGAGTTGGAGTAAAAACCTACCAAAACCCGGAGCCTTGTTAACTGTACCAATAAAACACTGCTCGCTCTCTCTCTCTCTCTCTCTTTCTCTTTCTCTCTCTGTATCGCTCGGAAATCCATCAGGTGCGGCAGCACACTCTGGTTTTCAGAAGTGTGCTAGTTAATCTCACGTATGGCACAAACCCATAAACCGTTCGATGCTATAAACCCCTACATCCCCTATACTCCAAAACAAGAAACCATCTGGAACTTGTAGAATCCGCCGCCTCATGGCTCCTAAATGGGAGTCCCAGAAAACAGGAAACTCTTTAACGGTACCTAACCATACGTCCGTCGAATCCTGCAGCCTCGGACAAATCCGATTTTGAGGCAAGTTTATGAAACTTTCACACCCAAAGACTCCAATATCCTTTAACTAAGGAACATACCTTTAGATATGATCCTGATTTCGATTCGAAAAATTGAAAGTGTCTGGGTAATTTTTGAAACCCAGCTCAAGAATCTCCACCTCGAAGTCCAGGCGCGTTGCCCTGAGTTCCGGCCTACAGCAGGGGGCGTAAGGTTAAGGGCTTCAGGGTTTTAGAGCTTAGGATCCAAGATCTAGATTTAATGTGTCCTTTTGTAGAAATGCTTTTGGGTATGAGGGTTGTGCAAGCTTACGTTTTGGTATTTTTGGGGGCCGGTGTTTAAAGGGATAAAATTTAGGCTCATGGGATTTTAGGGCTTAGGCGGGCCTGCGATTCGGCGTCACCTCCGCTAGTTTGGGAGCTAGGGCTTTCTTGGGTTTTTTTTGTCTGCAGCAATACTGTTCCAACGATGCGTTAACCAACTAATTGGCCCGTATCACCAAGCAGGGCAGGCTGTCAGGAAGGGCTCGGAAGACCGACACTAATGTCGGAATGTAAACAGGCAACTTTGGATAATTGCCATGAGCCGCTCGATAATGCAAGTGACGTTGGCCTCTCGGCAATCTGTTCACCTGCCTTGTGGGCCTCCGTCCTCATTATCATGCCCAGCCAGCACTGGCACAACATAATGCCCCATTATCTTGATGTCGCTGAATGCCTTCGGCTTCAACTTCAGTTCTTCCTCTTTCAGCGGTGCACCATGCGCTTCGAACACCCGGTTCACTTCACATGTTCCATATCAAGCCGCAGATTGCCGTCTTTTTTTGGACCCAGTGCTTGGAGCAAGACATATGCCCACCAGACCGATGTCCCAAGACTACGCATGGGTGACCACGAAGACATAAATTGATTGAAGCGGTACACATCTCTATTCAGCAAGCGTACCAGGGGTCCAAAGCATTCCTCCAAGATCAAAATCACAAATGCCAATGCTTTGCAGAACTCCATGTTGGTCATTTTCCTTGGCGCATCCAACATGCCGAAACCTTGGGACCTATGAAGTGCACAACCTTGGCGCGTGCCGCTTGTTGCACAAAATTTTCCGATGGTCTTTAATAGTTCCTCGGCCTGCTTTGCCTGCTACTCGGTCTTGATCATGGTATAGGGCCCATAGCATTTTCATGAGCCAAGATGAGCCGCCAGAACGCCGCTCCGTCAGGCGGTGAATGCATCTGACGATTCAACATCTAATTTAGCCTCTGCTGTTGATCGGATAGAAGCTTGAAGTCAACTTTCGATAAAGCACCCACCTCCATCATAGCCGCTACGGCTTCCGTCTCCAGTGCTCTTGCCACCAGTGGAATTGTCGGTGGAACCGGTAGGAGGAAGTGGATGGTCTCTCTACCAGACACACCTTCCTTGGCCAACTCTCGCAAAGCGGAAGTCGCTTGTCCTGATGATTTCAAGCGATTGGCTTGCCTTGCTTCGCTATACTTTGCGATCATGATCCAGAACAAACTTTGCAACATGTTCCTGCTGGGCCAAACCTTTATATCCTTGTGACTCAGCCACCACGCCCATCTGTGCTATGAGCATCCCTTTATCCACCACTCCGCGATCTGCCTCGCGGTAGAACTCCATGGCTTGGGGAGCCTCTTGCTCACAAACACTTACCTCTGAGCACGCACTCATCTTTCGTTTGATCGGTGATGCCATTATGCGCTTGAGCCCACATGCTTGAGGTGATATATTTAGTTCATCACCTTTTACTAGGCATGATCCTTGTCGACTTGCCCTTTCAAATATGTTTGATTCAAATCTTTTGAACCCATACAGCTTTTGGGGGCTTAGGGTTGAGGCTATTTAGGGTTTAGGGGTTGTGTGGCGAGAAAAGTGTCGCTCAGGTCGTCGATGTTGTCTGTACATGGTGGTAAGCCGCGGCGAGAAAGGGTGGCACAGAGTTGCAAGCTTGAGGGTACAGTGGCTTGTAGGGCATGGCGTGCAGCTTCAGGTCATACTCGGGGACATCGGCTGAGGGTTCACAAGGGCTTAGGGCGTTTCGGGGTGAAACTGGGCCCTAAGCACGGCAACAGGAGAAAGCAACCCCCAAATTCTCGACACAACCATTGTGTGCACGCTTTCAAGTTTAGATCCATTTTAGAGTTGGAAGCCGGCAGTGTATCCCCAAAATTCGCTACAGCTACAAGTGTAACTTGCTTGCGGTTTGTTAAGTAGCAATACTACGCCTGCCTCAGGCCTACCATGACGCGTATAGAGGCCATCAAATCCTGAAGCCTAAGTACCCCCAAACCGTGAAGCTCAAAACAGAAACACGCTTAGCAAGCTAAACGTTCAAGTAAGTGACCGCCTTCAATGTAATCCGTTTTCGGAGGTTGTATGGCAATTGTAAGTACCGCATAAAGATGTAGCGATAGATCGGAGGGTCCCCATCACGCCGAATGCCCCTTCCCCCTCCACTTGAAAAAACAAATCTGCCACAGAATCTGAGCAAGCTGGCAACTGCGAGAGGAGGCCTGCCAGCATTTTGGGCCGGGCTTACTAAGGCTCTTCCGGAGTTGTTTAGGGTTTAGTAGGGAACCGTTAGGGAATCCTAAAGCCCTAGACCTCTGAAGCCCAAACGCTCGCGTGCAAACTAGACATGATTCTTGGCGTTGTGCTGCCTGTGTGAGATCTATGCCGACACTACATTACAGTTTGTCCCGATCCCCGTTCCCACTATGAAGCAGAACCCTCGACCCTAAGCACTAAATCCCCTGAGCCCTAAAAGCTTAGGGGCTGACTACCCTAGCCCCAAAAAGGTTAACCGTTTTGAATTGTAGTAGGATTATAAGAGCCCCAAAAGGTTAAAGGTTAGCTACTCAGCCACCAAGAAAGGGAGTAGGAGTTCCGGTTTGTGTGCATCGCACAGCTGCGAAACTGGTATCTTGCTCCTTCGGTGGGTCTTTAACTTCGACCTTCCGGTTCGTTACCCAGGTTTAGGGTTTGGGGTTTAGGGTTTGGGGTTTGGGGTTTGGGGTTTAGGGTTTGGGGTTTAGGGTTTGGGGTTTAGGGTTAGGGGTTGAAAGCATGGATCCATCGGAACACCCTAATGATGCTGTTTCGTGTTTAGGGTTTGGGGCCTTGATTCCTAAACTCTGACCTCAGAACCACTGGATGGGGTCCTTCGCATCTGTTGCCGAAGCTGAAGCTTCTCTGGCTTAACTGCTCGGGGCTAGCCAGAAACAGGGTACGAGAAACTTTGCCTCGGTATAACGGATACTGGTAAAACAAAACGTGAAGCCTTCTTTATATCCCTGATTACTTCCCTGATTCTGTAAAGCAACTAACTACACTTAAGCCCTAAAGCATATGCGACAAACTGGTTGAAACGTGTAAACCCCTTATAATAAAATCTTACGACGACGAACCCCTGTCGGTTTCTGTATTTCATAGTCTCTCCTGATCGTTCTTTATATATCTGCTGGCCCTTCAGCCGCACCTGCATCTCCTTCTCATTCTTTCTTTGAAGATGTACTTATAATCGCTTTTTATTAGGGATTACAAGGCGGTTGCAAGGTGCTGCCAGTACCGGGTCCTGGAAGGCAAATCAGACCTAGCGAGCTGGCTCGTGAAGCATTAGTTGTCGACTTCTAATCCCAACTCAAAGGTGCTGACCGGCAACTTCTAACGACCGCTGGTTCTTCAAGTAGAGCCCAATACACACTCCTACATGGGAAGAAGCCTACAAGGATCCTTTACAACAAGCTTCGCATCCAAAGCTTTCGATCTTCATTCAACCCACCAAGCGGTCAAAAGATCGTACACATGCTGAACATGTTCCAGGTGTCTCTGTGCTCTAGACTTGTCGCTGCTGCCAGGATCTCATGAGGGCATCGATGTGCCGTCAAATGTAGCCCAGGAGCTCAAAAAGCTTCAGTGGCAGCACTGGGACACCTTGTGTGCCCACATCTTGCCATCCTCAACTCTAATATGCAAGAGCTTCACAAAGTTGTCACGGTCTGGGAATACGTGTTGGCATCCGAAGCAAGAAAACAGTAGTAGTCCGCAGACCGATCTAAATCCAGAACAGCCCTCCTCCAATGCACCTCTTTTTGGGTAGCACAAGACTAAGCCTCAAACCTGAGCCTAAAACCCTAAAGCCTGAGAACCCCCAAAGGGGTGCAACCCGGAACAACCAAAGCAAAAAACAAACACTGAATCCTGAATCCTGCAACCCCCCCCCCCCC